CGGTTTGCTGATGTCAACGTTGTGGATCGAGTGGCCCATGGTAGCGGTGGGGTTATGGTATGGGCAGGCATATGTTATGGACAACGAACACAGGTACATTTTATTGATGGCATTTTGAATGTATGTGTATGTGAAACTGCACATTTTAGAGTGGCCTTTTATTGTGGCCAGCCTAAGGCACACCTGTGCAATAATCATGCTGTCTAATCAGCATCTTGATATGCCACACCTGTGAGGTGGATGGATTATCTCGGCAAAGGAGAAGTGCTCACTAACACAGATTTAGACAGATTTGTGAACAATATTTGAGAGAAATAGGCCTTTTTTGTACATAGAAAAAGTCTTAGATCTTTGAGTTCAGCTCATGAAAAATGGGGGCAAAAACAAAAGTTTTGCATTTATAATTTTGTTCAGTGTATATATAAAACATTTATGTCCCCCTCACTTGTGTGATGACCACTCAATGATGGCTACGCCCCTGCCACAATGTACAATTAGCCCATACACAAATTCGATTTAAAGTAAATGTTTTGGAAATATTATAACGTTAACTAGTAGAAGTATTGTTATGACTAATGTAGCGCATCTGGGTGAAAGAGACTATCCTTTTAACATACTTTGATTAATATAACATTTTGGGGTTTTTTCAAACTGGAAATGAGGATATCTCTACAACAATCTTTAGCTTCAGTGAGTCAAGTTAATCCCATTAAACATTTCTACTCAAGGCATTTTAACGTGATTAATATTATGATACTCCCATAACGTGCCATAAAAATTAAGTGATATAATTTGTGGCGAAACAAAACATATATTTATTTGTCGAGATATTATAATTCAAGTGTTTTACCTCGCTGAAAACTCTCCCTCAGAAATACGCGCCATTCCTGTCAGGCGCGCGCGCTCTTGTGGTCGAGTAAGTAATCGACGCTTCCTATGTTCCAGACCAAGAACCAGCATTCTTTTATTTATTTATTTTATTTTATTTTTTTACAAAGATTTGACCTACATTTCGCTAAATTGCCCTAAAACGGAAAATTACGGGATTTAGACAAGCGAATTTTGAGTTTAGGTGACTCGTTTGCAGAGGTCTGTTAACAAAAATACTTTTTGTATCACATGTATTTGTACTACTGAGATTAAGCCATCTTGTAAATTGTAGGCTATACAAGCTTGAATTTTCTTGGATTTACGTGATTAGACTAGTACCATTGTTTTAGACTCTGAATTACTTTAAAATTGTAAACTTTCTGATTATTGGTAGTAGGCTATAGCATTCCTAGTGTAGGCCTACACTCTAAAAATATAATAATAAATGTGCTTCACGATGCCATAGAAGAACCTTTTTGTCTAAATGGTTCTATAAAGAACTTTTAACATCTGAAGAACCTTTCTGTTTCACAAATGGTTCTTTGTGGAACCAAAAATGGTTCTTCTATGGCATCGCTTGAAGAACCTTTTGAAGCACCTTTATTTTTAAGAGTGTACATTGGTTGTTGGAAACAATAAAGAGTGCATTATGGCTATACAACAGTGAACCATATTTGGGGAATTAATTTAATCACTCAGAATTCAGACAACACTATAGTGTATAATGCACTATACATGGAACATGGACCTTCTGAACAGAGTTTATGACTTGTTGAACATAAGCAAAATAGGAAGTGGTCAGACACTGTAAATTCCAGCAGCTCAAGTGGGCTGAACTCTACATTTTGAAACTTTTAAGAATGATGTATTAATTTCTTTTCAGTATTATATTTACTGAATAATCTGAATTTGAGTTGTAAAATTTGGGTACACTGTATAATTAATCAAATTCCATTCAAATATTTTTATTATATTAAAAATCCACTTTCCAAACTGCCTGTTCTCTGCAGGGATTCTGTAGTCTCTTCCAGCATATTGGGCTGCAGATGGAGCAAACACCCCCAGATGGATGGCCAATCCATCACAGGAAATACACATTTATATTACACGCAGTTATCATAATTTTAAACGTTTTTTTAAAGTAAGATTTGAACAAAAAAACACTGATGTCAAATTTAACAGTATGAGAAGTAATAAAATGTATCATGAATCTCTTGATAATACAGAGATCTGTTCTTCAGCTCAACAGCCTAAGGGAAGAAGCTGCACTTGGTGGGAAACAGTCTGCTGCTCTGTGTAGTGCATGCACAAACATGAGATGTTTCAAACTAGAATCCACTCTTTACAGTTACAATTGTTATATCATATGTTGCTTTAGGTTAATCTTAAATTGACAGTGAGATCAGCATACCTCCATGTAGGTTCATATCTTGTTTAATTACATATTTTTGCACTTATTTTACTCAAATTTTGCAGAAAAGCTTGCTTCTTCCAACACATCTACATCACTTATATGATGCAACTGGTGTTCAAATTCTGCACTGCATTTTTTGTGCCCCAGATTTGAAAAGTAATATATTGAAATGAGTGAATCATGAGAGTTAGTTATCGGCCTATAAAGGTGATATTGAATATTCAAGGTTTTTCGAGCATGAGGGGCTTTACTACAGTAAAACCAGCAGTGAAAAACAAGCAACCTCCATAAAAATTTGAACATGTACAGAGCTGCTTTTATCTGGGGAAAGGTTTACGGGGGGAATGTGAGCGTCTATCTTACTCACTTGAGGGTAAGATCAATCAACCAATCTTTCTTCTCAGCGTCACCTTTCACTTCAGGTGATTTAAGCTGACAGAATGCCTTGCTGTCAGCAAAGTTTTTGATGAGAATAAGGTCAGCGCGTCCTTCTTTGTCAGCTACCAGCATATATAAGGACCCTGAGTTGCTCTACTGTACTCACTCTCCAGCCAGAGCAGAGTAAGACCACAAACCACCGTCCACATGGCTACCACCTTCTCCAGCGGCAGCTTCATTTCCAGCAGGTCCTCAATGGGCTCCTCACGCTTCTCTTCTTCAGGTGGAGGAGGTGGCCACATCAGCGCCATGAGGGCTGGCAGCGTGTATGGAGGCGCAGGAGGTTCAGGGGTCCGTAACTCAAGTGCCTCTCGCTCCATGGCCTCAGCAGGCTCAGGAAGCGGCTTTGGCTTTGGAGGTGGATTTGGTGCTGGAGGAGGCGCTGGTGGAGGATTCGGTGGGGGATTTGTTGGTGCTGCATCTGGAGGAGGATTCGGCGTCAGTGGAGGAGCGGATGACAGCATCATTGGCAACGAGAAGTTCACCATGCAGAATCTCAACGACCGTCTGGCTGCTTACCTGGAGAAGGTCCGCTCCCTTGAAAAAGCCAATGCTGACCTCGAGCTGAAGATATGCCAATTTCTTGAAACCAGAATCTCTCCTACTGGTACTGCTCGTAACCACTCTGCCTTCGAAGCTACTATCGGTGACCTCCAGGCTAAAGTAGGTCTAGCTTGATACTTTGTGGTTAATGCTGTAAGGAAATTGCATATCCTAATAATCTTCATTACCATAAAAAAGTTCACATTTTTTGCAGATCCTGAGCACCATGCAGGAAAAGAACACAGTCCACCTCAGCATTGACAATGCCAGCTTGACTGCAGATGACTTCAGAATGAAGTAATATTTGTTTCATTTTTCATTACATTTGTATAGAATAATTGCTGTGGAAGTGTACAGAAATTATAGAAAAACAACAACAAATAACTGTTTAAATAATATGCAAATCAGCTTTTGGGTAATGTGATATGCTATACAAATTTTTAAATTATGTTAAAGATGAAAGTAATGTCAACAATCCATTAGTCACACCAAATGACCTTTTAAAGAGACAGTTCACCCCAAAATGAAAATTCAGTCATCATTTACTCAACTTTCACTTGATCCAAAACTTGTGTTCTGCTGAATAGCCAATCACAGCAACAAAATTCTTGATGTTGATAAAAGACAGTTATTTTGTATAATGTTCCTTTCTATTGGACAGATATGAGAACGAGCTGGCAATGCGTCAGTCTGTGGAGGCAGACATTGCAGGGTTAAAGACCGTGCTTAGTGAGCTCAATATGAGTCATAAAGACCTCAACCTGCAGATCGAAGGGCTCACTGAGGAGCTGGTCTACATGAAGAAGAATCATGAGGAGGTAGTAAATCATTGCAAAACCTTTAAGAAAGTGTAAAACACAAGATTATGCTAAGAATTGCTAAACATTTTAGACAAGAGGTCAGGTCACACAGGTGTATTATAGCTTTAAGTTCTAGATGTCACTGTTTTCTAACATATTTCAATTCCATGACACTTGAAGGCAAGAATGAACAGGTGATGATGAGAAGATATTTGAAAATCATATATGATGTACCTTCAGGACCTCTTGACCTCACGCGATCAGATGAGTGGACAGGTCAATGTGGAGGTTGATGCAGCACCACAGGAAGACCTGACCAAAATTCTAGCTGAGATGCGTGAGCACTACGAGACTGTTGTATCCAAGAGCCGGAGAGACCTTGAAGGCTGGTTCCAGCAGAAGGTTGGTTCAGTCCAGAACTTGATTCTTTGATAACAAACACTCATAAAGACATATGCAGCCTAGGAGCCCACCTCAAAAATGTTGGAAATAAAATAACTATAGTTCATGAAAGAAAGGCAAAACATCTACCGAATTAAAACAACAAGTGATTGATCAGTTCTTGCAAAGATGATTTGTGTTTTTTATAGAGAAGTAGTATGTACATCCCTTAAGTCTAGAAACATTGGCACAGCTAACCCTATGTTGGGCTTATACTTGTATTAACTTCAATGATCGTTTTAAAACACTTCTTTTGCAGTCTGAGACCTTGAAACAAGAGGTTGCAACAAGCACAGAGACCTTACAGACTTCGAAAACTGAGGTCAACACCGTGAAGAGCACAGTACAGTCACTGGAGATTGAGCTTCAGTCTCTCCTTGCCATGGTTAGTATGTGTAGACAAAATGTACAGCCCCAAAACTATTTGGACACAAGTGACACTTAAAGCATGGTTTGGTGTGCATTAGATTTAAAAAAAAACAACAACAACAATCAAACCAACTGGCATTCACTTTAAAACCCCAATTTTCAAGCCAAATAATTGATAGGCATTTGTTAAATGATAAACCCATTTAAAAGTATTTGGACTCTTTCTGGTTGGCAAACGTTTACAAAAATTTAAGTTTTGGTCATTGCTAACATATCTTTCTTTCATTATCCCTACCTCACAGAATTCATCCATGGAAGGCACCCTGAGCGAGACTCAGAATCGCTACGCCCTGCAGCTGTCCGGATACCAGGCACAGGTGAGAGTTCATAAATCTCACAGACAGATCTCTTACTGTAGCCAACCACTAACAAGACTTTAAAATGACCTGTGCCAGGGTTAAAAGTTCTGTCTTCTCCCCTTGGGCTCGTAGGTGAGTGGAATGGAGGGTCAATTGGTGCAGCTTCGTGCCGATCTGGAGCGCCAGAGTCAAGAGTACCAGATGCTTCTGGACATCAAGACCAGACTGGAACTGGAGATTGCAGAGTACAGGAGACTGCTGGATGCAGAAGCCAGCGGCAGGTAAATCACAGACTACATTTGTGTAGTTTACATGCTCTGCTCCATAAGTTGAAATATTCTTGCCAATATGCAGACTGAGAAACATTATTTTCCTGCTATGCTCTACAAAAAAAAAATATTATTTTTTTAATTATAAATAACTATTCTTATTCTAATAATTGCAGACCACACATGCAATAAATATCTGAAGGCTGTATAATAGATATTTATTGCACTATTGATAGATTTTTGAGGAAACCATGATCCTTTTTTTCAGGATTGATAAATACAAAGTTCAAAACAGCATTTGTTTAAATAGAAATCTTTTGTAACATTATAAATGTCTTTACTGTCCATTTTGATCAATTTAATGCATCCTTGCTGAAGTGTTCTTTGTTTAAAACAAATCTTACTGAACCCAAACATCTGGGCAGTAGTGTTGATAAAAATAAACGTTTCTTTATTGGCATTGATGGCTCCAATTATAAATCTCTAACATCTATGAAACCTTTCCATTCCACAAAATGGAGAAAGGTTCTTTAGATTATTAAAATGTCCTTCACATGAAGAAAAAAAATGGTTCTTTTAAGTTCTGTTCACTTAAAGGTTCTTTGGGATATCAAAAAAAAAATTTAATGGCATTGCTGTGAAAACGCCCTTGGGAACCTTTATTTTTAAATGAGAATAGTTAGTTTGGGGTTCTGTGGAAGTTTGTGGTTTAAAGCTTGAAAGACACAAGTCTACAAATTGAGCTTTACAGGTTTAACTGGTTGGGAATTTTTATTTCCAAACAGCCTCACAATCTCTGGCTCTGGCTCCAGCTCCTCCTCCAGCTCGATCACTACCACCAAATCAGCAGTGATCACTGTGGTGGAAGAGGTGGTTGATGGTGGGATGGTGGTTTCTTCCTCTTCAACATCCCTTGTTAAGTGAAGCCCACCAGACTTGTGTTGGTTGGAGAACAGACCTTTAGCTCCGCTCATGCTGTCAGAATATGGTGGTCGTCTTTGAGCATTTACAACAATAAAACTGATGTTAAAGACAAAATGTGAGTGGTTATGTCATCTATTGTATATGGATGCAATTTAGAGATGTTTCCGTTTAAGTGACCAGAGATCCCAAAAGGGTATATTAACATTGGCATAATAAAAGAATAGTTCACCCAAGAACAAAAATTTACTACAACTCCAAGTAGATGAATTTGTTTCTTCATCGAAACAGATTTGGAGAAATTTAGCATTACATCGCTTGTTGACCAATGGATGGGTGAATGGGTGCCGTCAGAATGAGAGTCCAAACAGCTGATAAAAACACCACAAAAATCCACATGTAATTTACACGACTCCAGTCCATCAATTAACATCTTGTGAAGCGAACAGCTGCATGATTGTAAGAAACAAATCTATCATTAATACATTTTAACTTTAAACTGTTGCTTCCAGTAAAATTTCTCTATCCATATTGCTTTCTCCAGTGAAAAGGTTTTGTCTTGTCTGATTCAGGAGAGAAATACGCAGATCAAGCACCATTTACAAGTGAAAACAGACCAAAACAGTTTTGTCGGTGGATTCTGATGTGAGAGGACAGGCAGGACTTTTTACTGGAGGGTGACTGAAGAATTGTTATGGATTATGGACTCATATTTTGGCCAGAAGAGACATTTAAATAAAAAAATGCCCTAAAGATGGATTTGTTTCTTACAAACGTAGTTTTCACTTCACAAGATATTAATTGCTGGACTGGAATCAGGTGGATTACTTGTGGATTATTGCAACGTTTTTATCAGCTGTTTTGGACTCATTCTGAAGGCACCCATTCACTGCAGAGGATCCCTTGGTGAGCAAGTGATGTACTGCTAAATTTCTCAAGATCTCTTCCAAAGAACAAACAAACACATTTACACCTGGGATGGCCTGAGGGTGAGTACATTTTCAGCAAATTTTCATTTGGGGAATTCCTTTAACTTGGTACCAATGCATCATTAAACATGTCCAATCCCAGTTTGACCACATCCTCAATTAAATTGAGGTGAGAAACATTTACACTAAATTAAGTGTGTAATGTTTTCAAATGACTGCTGACTGTCTTTACTTTGTCAAATAGTTTTAAACCACGCACGGCAGACAAACAACATTATGAACCAGGTTAGCTAAACCACAGATATGTATCAGAACGCGAACTATGTAAACTAGTTACAAAAGACTGCAACAAACTTGCACAGATGACAGACCCTGCTGAATAAATAAATATGTATGTGAATGAACAAAAAACAATGGTAGTGAGAGTAAACATTCATTTCACGCGGGAATGACAAATCTCACATACAGGTGCATCTCAATAAATTAGAAAGTCGTGGAAAAGTTCATTTATTTCAGTAATTCAACTCAAATTGTGAAACTCGGGTATTAAATAAATTCAATGCACACAGACTGAAGTAGTTTAAGTCTTTGATTATTTTAATTGTGATGATTTTGGCTCACATTTAACAAAAACCCACCAATTCACTATCTCAACCAATTAGAATACTTCATAAGACCAATAAAAAAACATTTTTAGTGAATTGTTGGCCTTCTGGAAAGTATGTTAATTTACTGTACATGTACTCAATACTTGGTAGGGGCTCCTTTTGCTTTAATTACTGCCTCGATTCGACGTGGCATGGAGGTGATCAGTTTGTGGCACTGCTGAGGTGGTATGGAAGCCCAGGTTTCTTTGACAGTGGCCTTCTGCTCATCTGCATTTTTTGGTGTCTTGTTTCTCATTTTCCTCTTGACAATACCCTATAGATTCTCTATGGGGTTCAGGTCTGGTGAGTTTGCTGGCCAGTCAAGCACACCAACACCATGGTCATTTAACCAACTTTTGTTGCTTTTGGCAGTGTGGGCAGGTGCCAAATCCTGCTGGAAAATGAAATCAGCATCTTCAAAAAGCTGGTCAGCAGAAGGAAGCATGAAGTGCTCCAAAATTTCTTGGTAAACGGGTGCAGTGACGTTGGTTTTCAAAAAACACAATGGACCAACACCAGCAGATGACATTGCACCCCAAATCATCACAGACTGTGGAAACTTAACACTGGACTTCAAGCAACTTGGGCTATGAGCTTCTCCACCCTTCCTCCAGACTCTAGGACCTTGGTTTCCAAATGAAATACAAAACTTGCTCTCATCTGAAAAGAGGACTTTGGACCACTGGGCAACAGTCCAGTTCTTCTTCTCCTTAGCCCAGGTAAGATGCCTCTGATGTTGTCTGTGGTTCAGGAGTGGCTTAACAAGAGGAATATGACAACTGTAGCCAAATTCCTTGACACGTCTGTGTGTGGTGGTTCTTGATGCCTTGACCCCAGCCTCAGTCCATTCCTTTTGAAGTTCACTCAAATTCTTGAATCTATTTTGCTTGACAATCCTCATAAGGCTGCGGTTCTCTCGGTTGGTTGTGCATCTTTTTCTTCCACTCAACTTTCTGTTAACATGCTTGGATACAGGACTCTGTGAACAGCCAGCTTCTTTGGCAATGCATGTTTGTGGCTTACCCTCCTTGTGAAGGGTGTCAATGATTGTCTTCTGGACAACTGTCAGATCAGCAGTCTTCCCCATGATTGTGTAGCCTAGTGAATCAAAATGAGAGACCATTTTGAAGGCCCAGGAAACCTTTGCAGGTGTTTTGAGTTGATTAGCTGATTGGCATGTCACCATATTCTAATTTGTTGAGATAGTGAATTGGTGGGTTTTTGTTAAATGTGAGCCAAAATCATCACAATTAAAAGAACCAAAGACTTAAACTACTTCAGTCTGTGTGCACTGAATTTATTTAATACACGAGTTTCACAATTTGAGTTGAATTACTGAAATAAATGAACTTTTTCCACGACATTCTAATTTATTGAGATGCACCTGTATATGTGTTTTGACAATCCACCCAAGGAGTATAAATCCATTTCTCCTGTAGGAGACCTCCAAAAATCTGCCAAGGATAAACATCAACTATAATATAATGAAATATTTGATTTATACATTGCTTGCAAAACATTTAATTACAATACACAGTGAATGGCCATCTATAGAGAAATATGCCTTTTGTCCACAGAATGCACTACATCCAAACTATGCTAACTATGCTATGCTATGACTATGCTAACCAGCCAAACTTTGACTCCTTGTGTCAACTAGTTAATCCAGCATCAAACCACCAACAACCAGCATGGTTTATAGATGTATTTACAGATGCATTTATGCATGCCTAATCCTGCCTTTTTGGAATTGTCTTTCATATAATTTCATTTAATATAATTAAAAATTTTAAATTAACTTTTTAAAAATGTTTTCCAGTTAAATCACATAAAAACTACTAAAACAAATATAATTTTAAATATAAATGAGTTACAAACAGAAAAATAAGATTAAAGTAAAATAAAAAAATAAGAATTATCAATACATAAAACACAAGATAAGATAAGATATTGGATAATGTAGCATAGGGTCAGTATAGGGTCATTGTGTAAAATGAAAAAGCAGTTAGCATTGCACAATCTTGACAAATTACTTTCTGCTATGTTGCAAAAGTACCTAAAAGGTCAAACTGGAATGAAAGATATTTCACTTACTACTAAAATAACAAAAGGCAAACAAACAAATCTAGTTCCAATGGACTTGCTGTGCATAAACCTCACCTTTCCATCATAATGCTGCTGTACATACAGAAACCGCAAATGTCAAACGCATCAACAGCAGAAGTGTTTTCAGCCCAGCCCAGCCCAGCCAAGCCCATAAAAGAAACGTGGTCTAGTCAGTAAGCAGAATTCACTTCTGTGGTAACACGCCTGTGGAGTGTTGAAATGAAAGGTCCTGTTGAAAATAATTGTTAATAATGCAAACAAGTCTTTAAACTCTCTAGGACTCTCTAGTTTCTAGGATGAAAACCGCTGTGCTGCAGGGCTCTCTACACAGAATTTGTTTCAAATTTTTTTTAGCCTGAATTTCAACAACCTTTGCATCTTTAAACAATGACAAAATATCTAAGAAAAAGTCAACAAAACACCATAATGCATAATAATTGAGCCAAAAAAGAAGGCGAGAAAGTGTCTATGGTGAAGTAAACCATTTTTTTGGATTGCAAAACCATCATGTGTTACTATTTATCTTCTTTCAACACAAAATAAATAAATAATAATAATAAAATAAAAAAAAATGAAAAATTTTCCAGTAAATTGATCTAACATCTTAAAAACAATATGCATTAACTTAATGAATAAAAGTTCTTAATGAGAAAAAATAGGCCTATTACATTTTTTGATGATCAAAATACAGTAAAAACAGTAATATTATTATATATTAATACAATTTAAAATAACAGCTTTTTATTTTGATATTTTAAAATGCAATTAATTTCTGTGATGCAATGCATCTTTATGCCAGTCTTCAGTGTCACATGATCCTTCAGAAATCATTCTAATCTGCTGATTTGTGCTTATTATCTATATATAATAAGCTATAATTGATATATTATCTTATATCAGTGATCTTTTTATTTTTTCAGTATTTGTACTGTCATTAATGTACACGAAAGTCAAGCAGAAGCTGGAAGATTTGCTAACAGTGTCTTTTACCCTACATTTCACCTTAGGTGTGACCTTTAAGGTCGCTGGAATCGTTCCAGGGAAAGCAGTGAGATGACATGCATGGAATTCCAGGCTTTGTGTCTTATATTCAAATGCACTCTATAAAAGAAGCTGGCATTCTTCTTCCATCATTTACTGACCTGCCAGAGCAGACGCAGACAGAAAGTCTTGGTCAACATGGCTTCCACCTACTCCACCCGCAGCAGCTACATGTCCTCCAGCGGCTCCACGCGTATATCCACGTCTAGCGTGGGAAGCAGCCGCATGAGCACCGCGAGGGCCGGGAGTGTGTACGCCGGCGCAGGAGGTTCAGGGGTCCGCATCTCTAAGGCCACTTACTCTGTTGGAGGTTTCAGTGCGTCAGGATCTGCAGACAACAGCATCATTGGCAATGAGAAACTCACCATGCAGAGCCTCAATGACCGTCTGGCTGCTTACCTGGTCAAAGTGCGCTCACTGGAGAAGGCCAACGCTGAACTGGAGCTGAAGATCCGCCAGTTCCTAGATGGCAAAGCCTCCCCTGTTGCTCGTGACTACAGCTCCTACTTTGTCACCATACAGGATCTTCAGGCTAAGGTATTTTATGTTTTTTGAAAGATCCTAAATACAGAGCTAAAAATTATATATATATATAATTATATTAGTGTATATGTCCAGATCATGGCAGCCATTCACCTGAAGGGTGGCATCCATCTCAGCATTGACAACACCAGCCTGGCCATTAATGATTTCAAAATGAAGTGAGTCTTTCCAGCAGATTCAATGTTTATTGCATATTTTCGACACAAGCATAGCAGAAAATCGACTGATAGCAACATAATGCAGTACGCAGAAAAGGCAATTTAGGATTTTGGTATTTATTTATTTATTTTGATTAAACATGTATAGAATATAGAATAAATGTTTCATATTCTTCAAAGATCAAACCGATATAATTTGTAATAGAACAATGCAAAACTGCAGCATTTTTCCTTGTGGTCTCCAGAGTTATTTTAGTAAAATAAAATAAAATGAATTTTAACTGAAGTCAAGGCAACATTTCTCATTTGCATTTAGTTTAGCTTGATGTGCTAAAATAACTAAAAGTAAAACTTTAATAAAAAATTTTTTTTTTTAAACTATAGACATTAAAAAAAATTATAATAATAATAAAAATGACAAAAACAACAAAATTACTAAAACGTTAAAATAAAAACTGGGGGGAAAAAACTAATTCAAAATATTAATTATAACTATAATATTATCTCAATGATACTAAAATAAGACTGGTGGTCTCATATTTAAACCCCAAAGTTTTCATATTATACCATGACATTTTGACAGTTAATATTATATCTGTGACAAAATCATTTACAATATTGTTTTAACTGTTAATTGTTTTCTGCATAAATTATTTATAAAAAATTATAGCAAGCTTCGTATAAGAGTTCTAGAATGTATACAATAGCATGAGTGTTGCATTGAATCAGTTTTACCTGAGTTTGGAGGTGGGTCTTGTGTCCAGTGTTAGTGTTTTTTAAAGAGCATGTTTCTGACAGATATGAAACCGAGCTGGCCATGCGTCAGTCAGTGGAAGCAGACATTACCGGCCTGAAGAGGGTGCTTGGTGAGCTCAACATCACCAGAAAAGACTTTGCCATGCAGATCGAAGGGCTGAAGGAGGAGCTGGTCTATCTGAAGAAGAATCATGAGGAGGTACATAATGATTTTGTGAAAATGTATATAGTAGAATAACATATTATATATTGTATATATATTGTATATATATTTGTAATTCAAAAGAAATTGTTTTTAAAAATGTTAAAAATTATTTAAAAAGAAAATTACAATTATTATTTAAAAATGCATAATAGCAGCATTTGCCAATTTAATTCAAATAATATTTTCTGAAAACACATCTTAATATTGTATACAACTTTGCTGCTCAAATGAAATTTGAGATATATATCGAGACATATTTTATATAAGAGACTAAACATTTTGTATGATTTGTTACAATTTAAGTATTTTTAGTGCTGTTAAATATGACAATGTTTACCAGTGAGGTTACTTGAGACTTGACATGAATATGAATATATTCTTAGGATATGTTGGCCACACGTGGACAAATGAGTGGACAGGTTCACGTCGAGGTCGATGCAGCTCCACAGCAAGATCTCACCAAGATCCTGGCAGAAATCCGTGAGCACTACGAAGCAGTCACAGCAAAAAACCAAAGAGATCTGGAGTACTGGTTCAAGACAAAGGCGAGATTTATCAAAACATACAGGGACAGAAGCCTTTAATGTGCTTTTCATGACCAAATGTTTCAAGTAAGCAATCTCTTTCTGCTTTTTATTTCAGACGGAAACTCTGAAACAAGAAGTTGTCACCAGCACCACAGACCTGAAAACATCTCGCACTGAAATCAATACGGTCAAATCCACACTCCAGTCTTTGGAAATCGAACTCCAGTCCCTCTTAGCCATGGTCAGTGATATGGAATTGGCCATTTCTGTGGTAATATTCGTGTTTTAGTATGACTTTATTCTGAATTTGCATGTTCTTGTTACTGTAGAAAGCGTCTTTGGAGGCCACATTGAACGACACCAAGATTCGTTATTCCATGAAGCTATCCAGCTACCAACATCAGGTGAGTACATTTGCAATTAACAAAACCGATATATCATTTACTCGCCCTCACGTCATTCCAAACCTGTATGTCTTTTTTTTTTTTCTCTGTGGAACACAAGTAGATATTATTCAGTGCATCTTAAAAGATGGCGGAACAAACGTTTTAAAGAAACATACATGGGTAATGTGATTATAATACACGTCCAGTGTTAAATCTGTAAAGCCAAAAAACAAAAACAGTTATGCAAAGCTACGAAAATGCAGGTTACAAGGTAGTTCCATAAAGCAGTTATGCAGTTTTGCTAATTTGGAGCCCCCTAGGTAAATGTGTAGAATTAACTGTCGTAAACAGTCGTAATTACCGTGGATAGCGGTACACGCATATATATGTATATCTATGGATACCCGTGCATTTGTTGCTGCCCTAAATCAATTCGCCCTTTTCGCGGAATTTCGTACCCGCTCTTCAAACTTACTGGACGAACTGACATTTGGGAAAGATACAGAAGACGACTTCGACTTATTAGACCATGTATTTCAAGGTAAAAACGTAGTTTCTTTTATCTTGTGAGTAGAAGTGTTGATGACAAACCTCTAATGATGATGGTGGCTGACCTAATCCTGGATATGAAAATGATACTGAGACGGTTGTGTCCTACAAAAGTTAATAACTGTTCTCACCACTTTTGGAAATCAAACATCACTTTTAGGTCAGTATTAAACATTTAAATGGCAGCTTTTAGATTAAAAACACCTTATAGTTCACTTCGGTAAGCTATATCCTCGTGGCATTCAGTGTTGCAAAATACCTCAGACTCAGAAAACCATGCGAGGTTTGTACGCAACAACTCTTCAAAGATGCATTTAGTTCACTAACTGCATGGATAATGACCCTGGAACAGCTGGGAGTTTAGTGGGAATTAAGCCTTTGTGGTTTTGTATTATCTGTCCACATCTTTAAACATGAAGCTACTGGCAACTCAATTTCACTGTTCCCTACCAGCTAGCATTAATGAAGCTGAAGTACTTACACAAGCCATGCATGGACAATAAAAACTGCCTGTAAAATAAAAAATAACCATATGTTGAGTTTTACTTGACTTTAAACCCACGCACAACTAGAGAAAAAAAGTCTAGATTTTTTCAGTTTATGCTAAGTTTACTTTAGCCTACCTTAGACTTAGACTCCCCTTGTGAAAGAGGAGACTATTGGGACACCAATTAGGTGATAAACATCCATAATAACTATTTGGAGTCAAACAAAACAAGTTCAGTGATTCTCACAGGACCTGCAAATATCATCAGTGCTGGAGATAAAACATGTGCAGACCCACAGAATTACATTAAAATAAACACACATCAATGCCGCAAATGAATATGTATGGGGAGAAAGAGAGATTACATTTCTAACTCAATTCTTGGAAGAATGCACTTTGCTTTTATTTATACTCGAACATCCAATTCGCTAATTCCTTAACTCCAAATAACTCCACAGTTGAGAACTTTTTTTACAGCTATTAAACTTTACTTTGTGTTGCGGATTAACTACTTTTAAAACCCAATTTGATTGAAAACACATGTGCATTCCCTGTTTCTCTGTAACAAAAACCTCTGTTTAAGAAATTCCACCGAGATGATTGAGCTATAGTCAACAAATTGTTCTAAACATTTTTATGACTCATAAGAATGACATGTAAATATAAAAAATCACAAAATGTTTAAACAGCAACTGAGACCTAATAAGAAGTGAGAAAGAAGCTTCTTTCTTCTACCACTTACATTCATCTACATCTATGTAATACAATTTTTTCTGGATTGGAGGTAGACCAAAACCTACAGGTGCAGAAGTTGTTTAATTTACAGTTTAATTAATGCCGTTTGAACAATTGGCCGCAAGAGTCAAAGATGAGATACTCAATAAATCCCAAAATTGCCACACTTAAACAATCATAAAGTTATTTTTATGACTAAGCAGGCAACACACACCAACTTTAAAGGGATAGTTCACTTAAAAATAAAAATTCTGACATTAATTACTCACCCTCATGTCGTTCTAAACCTGTAAGACCTTCGTTTATCATCGGAACACAAATTAAGATATTTTTGATGAATTCCGAGAGCTCTCTGACCCTCCCATAGACAGCAAGGATCCTTACACGATCAAGGTCCAGAAATGTAGTAAGGACATCGATAAGACATTCGTCTCCTCCGCGTCACCCTGGCACCATTTTGGAGAGTACCACATGCGTAAACAACGTATCCGCGTACATACGTTGCATACGTTGTTTACCAAAATGGTGCCAGGGTGACACGGAGGAGACGAATTGTTGAATGTTGTTGTTGAATTGTTGTTGTTTCTTTGTGCACAAAAAGTATTCTCGTAGCTTCGTAAAATTACAGTTGAACCACTGGTGTCACATGGATTATTTTAACGATGTCCCAACTACGTTTCTGGACCTTGATTGTGTAAGGATCCTTACTGTCTATGGGAGGGTCAGAGAACTCTCGGAATTCATCAAAAATACCTTAATTTGTGTTCTGAAGATGAACGAACGTCTTACAGGTTTAGAACGACATGAGGGTGAGTAATTAATGACAGAATTTTAATTTTTGGGTGAACTATCCCTTTAAAGGGGTTAGTTCACCCGAAAATTAAAACTCTGTCATTTGCTCACCCTCCAGTTGTTCCAAACCTGTATGAGTTTCTTTTTTCTGTTGAACACAAAAGAAGATACTTTGAAGAATGTTGGTAACCATTGGCAGTAGCCTTTGACTTCCATAGTACTTTTTCTCATCATATGGCTACCGTCAACTTTTTGGTTACCAACATTCTTCAAAATATCTTCTTTTGTGTTCAACAGTAAAAAGAAACTTATACAGGTTTGGAACAACTTGAAGGTGGGTAAATTATAAAATAATTTTCATTTTTGGGTTAACTATCCCTTTTATATTAAGTATTCCGTCTATTTTGTTAGCCACTGCTGTAAATAAAGGCATGGGTGAGAAATGTCTTCAAATGCACAATGGAAATACAGGAACTCAATGAATTCTAAATTAAAAAATAACAGCAGATTTTTTTTGTTGTTGTTTTTTACAAATTTTAATTTTTGGGTGAACTATCCCTTTAAAGGGGTTAGTTCACCCGAAAATTAAAACTCTGTCATTTGCTCACCCTCCAGTTGTTCCAAACCTGTATGAGTTTCTTTTTTCTGTTGAACACAAAAGAAGATACTTTGAAGAATGTTGGTAACCATTGGCAGTAGCCTTTGACTTCCATAGTACTTTTTCTCATCATATGGCTACCGTAAACTTTTTGGTTACCAACATTCTTCAAAATATCTTCTTTTGTGTTCAACAGTAAAAAGAAACTTATACAGGTTTGGAACAACTTGAAGGTGGGTAAATTATAAAATAATTTTCATTTTTGGGTTAACTATCCCTTTTATATTAAGTATTCCGTCTATTTTGTTAGCCACTGCTGTAAATAAAGGCATGGGTGAGAAATGTCTTCAAATGCACAATGGAAATACAGGAACTCAATGAATTCTAAATTAAAAAATAACAGCAGATTTTTTTTGTTGTTGTTTTTTACATTAGTTTCTTTAATAATTAATTCCAGTACATGGTTTAAGAATTACATATTATCAATAAACGTGTACACTGAGTATTTTACTGGAGGAAAGAAACCAGAATGGCACTCACTACGACACTGATCAGACAAGATACAAAGACTCTCTTGTAAGCTCACTGATCCCAAACATAGACACTTTCATAAGAGAAAATCAGTCACAACTGTACCCAAAAGAAGATATTAAGAAAAGAAGAGGAGACGTAAGGTATGAAAACATAATGAAACATATATATTTTATAATATATTTATATATATATTGTAGCTTTTATAAAAAAAAAAGAATTAAAAAAAAGAAACAAAAACAAAAAAAAGAGTAATACTTTCGAGACATAATGAGGTTTCTTTTAGCTACTATCGTTACTGCGACTGCTGCCACTGCTAAGATCGGGCCGTTCTTTTTTGTGAATCTGCTCGTGTGCTTTGAGATGACCTGATTGGCTGAAATTCTTCCCGCACTGCTGGCAAGTGTACGGCCGTTCGCCCGTGTGAATTTGCTGGTGTGCTTTAAGATGTCCCAAGCGACCGAAACTTTTGCCACACTGGGTGCAGCCGAACGGTCTTACCCCGGAGTGAATCTTCTCGTGTGTTCTGAGGACCCCTGAATTGCTGAAAGTTTTGTCACACTGGGAGCAGCTGTACGGCTTCTCGCCCATGTGGATTTGCTGGTGATTGCGGTAACTCGACTCTTTAGTGAAGCTCTTGCCACACAGCGAACAGCAGAAGGGCCGCTCTCCCGTGTGGCTCAACTGGTGGGCTTTGAGTTCCTTCGTTTGACCGAAGCTCTTACCGCACTCGGCGCAACTGAAAGGCTTCTCGCCCGTATGCAGCCGCTGGTGCGAGCGGAGGTCGTCCGCTTTGGTGAAACCCTTTGGGCAGTGTGCGCAAGTGTAAGGTTTTTGCCCCGTGTGGATGAGCTGGTGCCTTTTCAAGTTACCAGCCTGCCCGAAGCAGAAGATACTTTGAAGAATGTTGGTAACCATTGGCAGTAGCCTTTGACTTCCATAGTACTTTTTCTCATCATATGGCTACCGTCAACTTTTTGGTTACCAACATTCTTCAAAATATCTTCTTTTGTGTTCAACAGTAAAAAGAAACTTATACAGGTTTGGAACAACTTGAAGGTGGGTAAATTATAAAATAATTTTCATTTTTGGGTTAACTATCCCTTTTATATTA